TTTCACAGGGGTCGCCTAAGACCATCCTGCATATCAGATATTTACATTACGATTCATAACAGTAGCAACATTACAGTTATGAAGTAGCAACGAAAATAATTTTATGGTTGGGTCACAACATGAGGAACTATATTTAAAGGGCCAGAAGGTTGAGAACCACTGCTATAGGTGAAGGAAGGCACCATATCTGAGGCTCCGTAGTCCTGGCTAACACAGTTTGCCCAGTCCTGGTGATTCCCTGAGACCCTGCCCTACCCATCCTGCAGGCCCACCCAAGCCCCTTCCAGTGGCTTTTCCATACAAATGGCCTGTTTTGGTTCATGCTGCAGACTTTCCTAAAATCTCTCAGTTTCATAAACACCAAAATAGCAGTAGCTGGCCTTAAAGTGTCCCATACCTCTTGCTAAGTGACTCCGAGCCTAGTACTAGCACCAGCTGGCCTCAGTTTGCAGCTTAGCTTCTCCCAGACACCTCTGAGCTCAGCACAAGTGGCAACCATCTGCAGATCACTTTGTGGCTTTGTGTTTTTTTCATTGATTTCAGAGAAGAAGGGAGAAAGAGATAGAAACATCAATAATGAGGGAGAGTCATTGATTGGCTGCCTCCTGCATACCCCCTACTGGGGATTGAGCCCGCAACCCTAGCATGTGCCCTTGACCGGAATTGAACCTGGACCCTTCAGTCCACAGGCTGATGCTTTATCCATTGAGCCAAACCAGCTAGGGCTGCAGATCACTTGTAGCTCATATTAAGTAGCCCTGGGCAGGGGACAGGCAACAGCTGACCTTGGCCTGTACCTCCAAAAGGCCCAAGAAACAACACCTTGGTGGTCAGCTTCAGACCACACCAGAGCACCATTCAACTACCCCCACAGATGACACATTCCAAGGGCAAACTGGGCACTCACCAGAGCCCCACTAACGCGAATCCTGCTGCATAGGGTCAGCCCCTGCACAAACAAGTCCTCCAGTGGAATCACAGCCGTCCAACCAGCCTGCGGGCCAATCCCTCCTACTGATGTGCCAACAGCAATCAAGGCTCAACTACAACAGGAGGCACACACGCACACAAGGGACAGTCCTGGAGCACCCGGGGCCCCACATGATACCCACTACATAAGGCCACTCTACCAAGACTGAGAAATGAAGCAGCTCTGCCTAATACACAGACACAAACACAGGAAGAAGCCAAAATAGGGGGGAAACATGTCCCAAATGAAAGAACAGAAAAAACTCCAGAAAAAGCACTCGACAAAATGTAGACTAGCAATCTACTAGGGGCAGATTTCAAAACACTGGTTATAAGGATGCTCAATGAACTCAGTGAGAGCCTCAACAGCAATATAGGAACTATAAAAATGGAGATAGAAAACATTTTTAAAAATTAGTCAGAAATGTAAACCATAATAACTGAAACCAAGAATACATTAGAGCAGTGGTTCTCAACCTTCTGGCCCTTTAAATACAGTTCCTCATGTTGTGACCCAACCATAAAATTATTTTCACTGCTACTTCATAACTGTAATGTTGCTACTGTTATGAATTGAAATGTAAATATCTGATATGCAGGGTGGTGTTAGGTGACACCTGTGAAAGGGTCGTTCGACCGCCAAAGGGGTTTCGACCCACAGGTTGAGAATCGCTGCATTAGAGGAAATCAACAGTAGAGTAGATGCAGCAGAAGGCTGAGTCAACAATTTGGAAACAAGGTAGTAGAAAACACCCAATCAGAACAGCAAAAAGAAAAAAGAATCCCAAAAGAAGGATAGCCAAGGCCAGGTGACTCAGTTGATTGGAGCGTCATCCCGTACACACCAAATGGTTGCAGGTTCGATTTCTGGTCAGGGCACATACCTAGGTTGTGGGCTCGATCCCTGGTTGGGCGTATATGGGAGGCAACCAATCAATGTGTCTCTCTCATATTGATGTTTCTCTGTCTGTGTCTCTCCCCTCACTTCCACTCTCTCTAAAAATCAATGGGAAAATATCCTCAGGTGAGATTAACAACAACAAAAACCCCAAAACTGATTTGACTGTAAGTGGTGAGCACATGATGCAATATACAGATCATGTATCACAGAAATGTACACTTGAAATCGATATGATTTTATTTATCAACTAGAGGCCTGGTGCACGAAATTTGTGCAAGGGGGGGTCCCCTAAGTCCAGCCTGCACCCTTTCCAATCCAGGACCCCTCAGAGGATGTCCGACCACCGGTTTAGGCCCGATCCCTGGGATTGGGCTTAAACCGGCGGTCGGACATCCCTCTCACAATCTGGGACTGCTGGCTCCTAACTGCTCACCTGCCTGCCTGCCTGATC